AGGAGTCTTAAGTACTATCTGCGATTATGATGAAGAAAATGAAAATAACTCCTAGAAAGATACTGCACATTTAATGTTTGTGAAAAATGCAACTATGTTTCCCTCTAAAAAAATGGACAGAAGACTTCCTTCAAATTTTCCATAAATGAATCTCAATATATGATTCCCAGGAAGTTAAAGAAACCTGTGTTGAATGTGTGAAATGTTACATAGCCCTTTGTTAAGCACACAATCTTCAGCATACTCCCTTGAACTTTAAAAGGAGTTTTTAAAAGACTTCTTCAGAATGTGCCTATTCAACAAACTACCTGGAACTAATATTTCTACTTTCTGTAAGTGATTTAAAGAAATTTAATCCCATTTTAATTTCATAACCCTTAGAAAAGCCTTCTAATAATCAGGAAAAACTATGGAACAAATCAGAAGAGTAAACAAAAGAAAAATAAACTAATGAATATAAAAGAACCATTATTTTACCCCAATGACTCCTTGGAAGATATTGAGTATCTCCTGTTCTGTGACTGGCTGATTTGTGGCTTCTGGATTAGATTTAGATGCAGGAGTAAGTATAGAATTTATATATACGTCTATCAGAGGAAGTAACTGAGGATGGAGTGGAGTGGAGGTTTCACACAGCTGTCTGTAAATCCAGTCCTAAAAGAGAAGTTTATAGGTAATAAGTCAATTATGGCAATAAGAAAAAGCAAGCAAAATTTTAAAAGCACATACAATTTTATGTGATTTATGAATCACCTACTAATTCTTGGTAAGTATAAATATTATCTAGCTTCACAATTGTCTTTGATTTAAAAATATGAACTACTTTATGTCCTAATAGAGAATATTGTCCAGTGGAAGATAAATCTAAAATGATGAGTCTGGGTCTTCAGTAAGGACTTTGGGTTTTTAATCTGTTAGTTTTTAAATAGTGGGAAACCATTGCAAATTCCTACTATACCTGTATTTAGAGCAACATATGTGTTGTCACTGAAGAGCCCACAGAAGAGGACTTTAGGAAGTGGGATAGTTCTTTACAGCAAACCCTCAGATAGTTTAAGAAAGTGGTTTGACATCCACTTATGGGGGACTATCAATTAACTACCAACACAGTCAGAGGACATGTGGAAATGTTGGGTGCACATGTAGACTCTTAATTCTTACCCATTTCACTGGCTAAAAATATAGAGAGAGGACACAAGATGGTGGTGTGAGTAGGGAAGCAGAAATCTCCTCCCAAAACCATATACATTTTACAAAATACAACAAATACAACTATTCCTAAAAGAGAGACCAGAGGATATAGTACAACAGCCAGGCTACATCTACATCTGCATGAACTCAGCATCTCATGAACGGGGTAAGATACAAAGCCACGAGCCGGCGGGACCCGAACGCTCCCCCAACCCCAGCTCACCAGCGGAAGGAAAGGAGTCAGAGCAGGCAGGGAGAGGAAGCCCAGGACTGCTAAATAACCAGCCCTAGTAATCCACACCAGGAGCACGGACACACATTGCATGGTGTGCTGGATATTAGGGAAATGGAAAAGTAAAATCTGTGAGCGGCTCCCTGCAGCTGGCTCCCCTGGAACAAAAGAAAAGTGAGTGTTTTCTGAAGTCTTAAAAAGACAGAGGCCTCACAGCTGGATGGAAGCATCCCGACACACTCAGCCCAGCAGGCTGAGAATTCTAAGGAGCTTCGGAATCAGAAGCCCCAGCCCCCTGGGAGGCAGCACAGATCTGAAACTTCTCACGGCCATAAACAGCCTGCCGCTCATTCCCCCTACTGCGTGGCCCCACTACAATGGCAGAGCAGACTAAGAAGGGCCACGCACAAAGATGTCGCCCAGAGTCTTCTCCCAGCACACAGCCACACGGGACAGACTCAGAGGCCACAGCTAGCGCACAGCTGCCCGGTGCAGGCAGAGGAAGCTGGGGTAGGGCGCAAAGGGGCGCCGTTATCACAGGAGAGCACACCAGGGCTCTGGTCTACACCAAGGGCTGCTGCCAGTATGCAAGTAACTGGCACAGGCAGCAGAGAGGGGAAGGGTGACCAGCAAGCAGGAAGAAACTTTGTTCTCCCAGGTGACACACATGCCACACACCTACAACTACCTCTATCACCATGAAAAGGCAGAAGAATTTGGTCCAGTCCAGAATTACCCAGACAAACCCGGAGAGAGGACCGGGGGGAGACAGATAAAACCAATCTTCCTGAAAAAGAATTCAAAATAAAGATCATATACATGCTGATGGACCTACAGAGAAATATGCAAGAGCTAATGGATCAAGTTAGGAGGGAGAATACAGAAATAAAACAATCTCTGGAAGGACTTAAGAGCAGACTGGATGATGTGCAAGAGGCCGTTAATGGAATAGAAATCAGAGAACAGGAATACAGAGAAGCTGAGGCAGAGAGAGATAAAAGGATCTCCAGTAATGAAAGAATATTAAGAGAACTACGTGACCAA